TAAAAACCATCGTGGACTCTACCTATGCTCACTTGTTCATTGCAGAAATAAGTCTTGCAAAAAGGGTAAGAGCACCAAGTCAAGGTGAAGAAACAAGCTCGCCTGTTGCGGTAAAACTCAGTCGATTACCGCTCACGGTTTGAGAAGAGGTGTCTGACGGAAAACTGCTGAACGCCTTAAAAGGAGCCAAGGTGTACTCCAAGCTGGATATAACATCAGCTTAGCATCAAGTCCTTCTTTTACCTGAGAGCCGTGATCTTACCGCATTCATCACTCGTGATGGCCTTCATCGATTCAAGAGAGTGTGCTTTGGCTTGGCGTCTGCACCCTCAGCTCTCCAGAAGTCGATGTCTGAAGTAGTAGAGTGAGAATATTAATGAAGAAGACGATGGCAATACCTACTTTTCTGTCGGCGTTCCTTCATTACTCATTAGGCTACAGCACCATGGCGTCGCCTTTTCTGGAGCTGCGAATTCATGAGTCCAGAACAATGCGACTTCTGACCGGGAAAATCGAATGCGCATCACATGCCCAAAAATTGCCAAAAAAGCGTAAAATGAACAAACAAGAAAAGAAACGAACAAAAATATATTTGGCTTTTTTTTTTAAGGCGTCATAATTGCATAAAATTTAGAACGCCTTTGCCCACGTTCATCTGAAACCGCACCGCACCGAATAGAATGCCCATGAACTGGCGCTTGAACTTCCGGTCGGTCGCTGTGTAATGGCAACTTGCTTACTGTCGCTGCTGGTTCTGGCGCTCTCGTTTTGTAGCACCGTCCCTTGCTCCTCTGCAGCTTGCTTCGTTCGCCACTGTCGCTCCTGCACCGCTTTAGGTACGCAAAGCACACAAGCAAAATCCTTCGGTGCCTGGAAACCGTCTCCGACTAGTGTATTTTAGCGCCCTCTTTCGCCCATGCATCAAAAGTGGGCCCAAAGGGACAAAAATGACGTCACAAAAGTCGGAGCGTCTCGCCGTCGGAAGGTCGCGATCCTGGCGGTTGGTCTTAGAAGTCTCGGCGAAAAGCACGAGCGAACGAGAGTGTCGCTGTCGTCGCGGCGTTCCAACTCCCGGCTGCCGAAGCTTCCGTGGACTGTCGAGCTGCAGAGAGCGACACTGAGCGGAACAGGCGTCTGCCACATCTACCACCGCTGTTGGAATGCCGCCAGGATCGCTGCCGGCGACAGCGGCGTGACACTTTTATGACGTCATCGAGCGGAAATCGAGGGACCACTTGTTTTGACGCGGTAAATACACTAATCGGAAACTCGTCGTTTCAGACACCATACTCATAGTACGTGCTGCCGCAGTGCGCACACCGAGGAAAGCCGCTTTTACGTTTTTTTTTAGAGCGCAGCTCTCAGGCGCCCGTTTCCGGGTTTCGCGGCGTTGGCGTCGCCGTCGGCGTAACTGGCCCGCTAAATTCAGCGGGAAATTGAACTGGTGTTGAGATCACGTGACGTCAAATTTCCCGCTAAAATGAACGGGGAAAATGACGTTACATGGCTTTGTATAACGTCAGTTACGTCACCCATGAACAAATTCAGTTTTTCCGCTGGACTTCGCGGGAAAATTTACGCTACCTGACCTGAACACCCAAACAGTTTCCTTACTTAATTTAGCGAGGAAAACGACGCCAGATTACTTCTTGTTGCGTAACCCACTAGAAAATTCAGTTTCTCCGGTAGATTTAGCGGGAAAACTGATGTCATGCGACCTCAACACCAATCTATATTATACGGAGGAGAGGGAGGGGCACGCCCTCCCCTCCGTACCCGTCCCTCTTCCTCCTATCTCAAGAGTTGCGCTCTAATTTTGCGATACAGAGATTTGTAAACGTCTTTCATTTTTTTACTTCTAAAATTTAATGAAGCTATTTAAATAATTTTTAGAATAATCTTTATAGTAGCAAATACTCCAAAATCATCTTATGTAAAAGCACGAAGGTATGCATTGCGGGGTTAAAAACAACGATAAGACGGGTTCGGCAAATCCTAAAGCAGAATGGCAAGCAAAGCAATAGCCCTCTTCTTTTTTTATGGTATAAGTCACCAAAACCTTCGTATCTCAAGTTTTGCGTGCCGGGCTATCTCTTGGGACTGGTAGGCGCGCTTAATATCTCCCGGTAACTTGTACGTAAGCTTTGGTAACGTAACGTAGCGTAACCTAAGAAAACGGGGCTGTGTGAAAACAGCCTTTAGTCCGCGCTGCCCGCTTCGTGTTGCAGGCTCGATGGAGGCGGCATCGCGGGTTCGGACACCAAAACGCTATAAATGCTATACATTTAGACAATCCTTAGTGATTATGAGAGCTGGCGAATAGACCGAGCTCGCTAAGCCCTCGGCGTATGCTCACACTGCCACAACTATAGATATGGCGGCTGTATCAGATGCGGAGCGCAAGTTCGTCTGCTTCTTTTTGCAGGGGTTGTGGTGACGTCAGAAAGACGCCGAGCTATGATTGGCCCCGATTGAAGGACAGTGGGTAGGCCTCAATGCAGCTTGCTTTGAGGCCTACCCACGATCCTTCAATCAGAGCCAATCAGAGATGGGCGTCGTTCTGACGTCACCACAACTCATGCGCGAGCAGACGACTTGCTCTCCGCATAACTTTAGTTATAGGATGCAGAGGGTCGTGGCCAACGATCCTAGTTGGCAGTGCCCGAGAGGATTCGAGCCGTTTCGTGCTCCACACGCTTAGAGCTCCGGTGAGGTTGCCGCACGTGCAGAGAGACTAAAGTTCCCTGGATGCATTGCTGCAGTGGTGGCGTAGTCAAACTCACTGGTGAAATAGGTATTGGTGATTCATGTGGCGGCAAATTCTTTCGATAAATCTGCCATAACACATATGAACGAAGCCCAGCTGTCGATGCGGAGCCATACTGGGAATTGTTGATACTTTGTAAAAGCCGTCATAAGTAAATCTTTGGTCGTATTGAAAAAAAAAAAGTGGTTCCATTAGAGAAACTTTGTCATTTTGACGGCGCAAGCTTATAGTCATTAAAGATGTTTTTTTTTTGTAATTAACGAGTCTATTTTTGAGTTAAAGATGGGGAAGCTGGGTAGGCTTCTTCAGAGACCAAACTACAAAGAAAAAGTCTGCAGTGTTTTCTTTTTTGGTTACTTGCCGAGTGATTCTGCAACCACAGGAAGACGGATGAGAAAGGCTCGCGGCTGTGGCACACTGTGCTGTTCCATCGCGGGTTTCTTTAAATTATTCTAAGGAACTGAAATGGTGTTATTTTGCTTTTTCTCTCTACCTCTTCTTTCTCCCTCTCTATATAATATTTCTTTTTCGTTTGCTAGTTGTTTCCTCGTTTTATTCGTGCTTTTATTTTTACTCATTGCCCGGGTCGCCGCGTCCTTTAGTTCCGGCTCTAGTCCTCGTAAATTAACACGTATTGGCAGTTCGTGAACAGAATACTAATAAAACGGTAACATAGCGCTAAAAGTGACGAACACAAGGAAAAAATGTATACACACAAGGCGCCCAGCGCCTTGTGTTTGTACACGTCTTCCTTCTTTCCATCGTCGCTTTAGCGCTGTTTTACCGGTTTATTATTATGTACCAATTAGCCCAGCTTGTGACACAATCATTTTCTAATCTCTGGAGCGAGAAATGATGACTTTCAAGTGCCACCCAAGGAAATCAATTAGCCTCGCGATACATTCATTTTCTAACCCCCGCAGCGAAAATTCATGACTTTCAACTTTTTGCCGCCCAAGACTTTACTCGATCCGAGTCACCATAACAATAATGACCCGTAATTTCACGATGAACACCTAATTAATCTGTTTTATATTGAACGAGTTTCTGTCTAGCGGCATGGCCAGTATTTGTGTTCGTATTTCAGCCATTTGTATTCGAAGATATAATCCTAGCTAGATTTCCTCGATACCGCAGCTCCCAACGTGATGTGCCCAGCTTGTAAAAATAACTTCTAAAATTTGGATATGACATTTTCTTCGAACGCTTGCATCAAAGAAGCGTCTTCCCATAAAGCTGGAGCACGATACAGACCTTGCTGTAATTAAAGCCCTTCTACCCTGGGAAAAGTTTCTCCATTCATTGTTGTGGAAACGTGCGAGACTCTCTGGGAAGAACATGGCGTCTGAAATCTAGCTCAGTGCTGCGCTGTGCCGCCATGATCTTCCCAAGAGCTGCAGGTTGCAAGTAAATCTTGCATCGACGCACCTTGCGTTACTTTTAAAAAAATAAAGGGGTTTTAGCTGTAATACCAGTGTGACAGCAGGGTACACCTAACACCTCGTTGACCGCGTCTGCATGGATGCGAGCCTAGCACATCGAATCGAGATTTGAGTATTTCGGTTAGTAGTAGTTGGGTAGAAGAGGAAGAAATCGGAAGACAGGGTGCGTATGATTGGTCCGTGCTAGATTCGATGCGCCACGATCGCATTCACGGGAACCCAGCCATCGACAGCAAGGTTGTACGTGCTACTAGACTTTGTGCGCCTCTTACCGCAAGGCCAACGCGAAGCACATAGGTGAGACGAGTACTGAACACGACTCCCAGCCGAAACTAACGCAGTGCTCGCCTCCGGCAGGAGAACTTACATAATCCAACACTACGATTTCGTTACCTGTTGGTACATCTCGACGATCTCGTACCGTTCCATCCTAATGGACACGTGACCCGTTTTCGCTTCGCCCGCGATGCGCCCCGGTGACGCGCGGTATTCCGATTGCGCCAAGAAATTTCGGGGGAAAAGCCCTTGCGAAAGTTTTTTTGCGGTCCTCCGACCCGCCAAAAACCGTGTCCGCGGCCGTTTCTCGTGGTTCCGCCGCTGCGTCAAACCAGCCCACCCTCCCCATAAGCCACCGGGCAGCCAACCGAGCAAGGCGACCGCAAAAGCTGCACCTCTAGCATGCAGCCCTGGCGGCGCCGCGCATGCAACCAAGCGCACTCTCTCTTTTTCCTCCCTTCCTACTTTCTCTTTTTTTTTCTCTTCACACTCGCCACCGCGTCAGAAGCTCACACACACACCTTTTCCCTCCGCGAGTCACACAGCTGGAGGAAAGTGCAGCCCGCAGAGCGCGCGCCGCGCCAGAAGCTCGACTCCGCCGGGCCGCCTCGCGCGCTCTAAAAATATTTGCCAGCGTGGGACAGCAGCAGCACCCGGGTCCGGACGCTGATGATGCGCCGCTGCCGCTCCTGCCAGCGGTACAGGAAGACCCGCGCTGTCTCGCCGCCGCCGCCGTGCCAGCCGTTGCCCGACCGTCACTCCTGGGTGTGAGTGCCCGCCGCATCTCTCTGGCTGGAGCCGCCGAGGTCTCGACGAGGACATACTCAGCCTGCATCGGGCATTCCTGGATGGTCGTGAATCTTCCGGAACCGTAGCGAGCTTCCTGGTGCCTTCCTGTGTTCTCCACTGTGCCACTCTGGGTACTTCTGGTGACCTTGAAGGACTGCCGATCCGTCCATGGTGGGACATGGACACTGCCGTCACGAACCTCATCTCTCTGCTAAGGCGATGAACGGGTATTTTCATCTTAGAAAAATGTCGGATACCTCTGAGCATTGGTCAGCGGCTCTGCGCGCCTTGATCTCCCTCTGAATAGTACTGGATGATCGAGGAGACTACGAGACATTGCTGTTCAATTGAAGGCACTGTAAGTTTTCGTTCTGAAAAACTTAGGTATACACGTAGGCGCGGATCTAGAGTTTTCCTGCACCAATGCAAGAGCGGAATGTCCGGTTTTGTATGAACCACCGAATGCAGTTGAGATAAAGACGTCGCCGTAAGGACCCCTGATACGTTCCTGAACAGCAAGATTCAAGATGGTGTTGCGATGCGGTTCTCACTGAAAAAAAAAAATTTAATCTACCCAGTCTTTACTGTACCTGCCAAACAACACAAGAGTATTGTATCAAGCACAACCTAGCGGTCAGTCCGGCTCATCGGCAGAAGAAATCTAACCGAACGCAGAAGACCAATTCCTCGAACGTCCATCGCCCCTCTTGAGACCTGTCCCGTTTCGTGGCCAGAAACGAAGCGCGAGTGCACAGACAATGTCTTCGGAATACGAGTATATTTCGACCCGCCACCAGCAGCCCACGGGATCCAAGTGTGTGATCGCCTCGGTCGTGTTCACGCGGAGAAAAGTGTGCGCCGTCGACGGGCCAATGTGAAGCGGCCTCTCTGGGCCGCCTGGCAGCAGCAGCTGCCTCCGTGGGCTTCTTCGGCGCCTGTGCGCGAAGCGAAGCCGCCATCTCGTTCTCGATCGAGCACACGTGCGTGTCGCGGATCCTCCGGCTCCGAGTGACGTACTTGGCGTTCCATCCGCGCCTTGTGGATACGGACAAGAAAGGATACGCGGCACCATAGACACACGCTGCCTGGAGTAGGAACGGCCGAGCCGCACATCACGCACCATGATTCCCAGAACGGTGAGTTACTGAGAAACTTAACACGCGTGGACGCTCACGATTTGATTATTTTTTTTTCTTGTTGTTAAACTCACAAGGCATCTTGGCGACCTTACATTACTCTGCGCCGCGCGAGGAATCATTGGGCTGTTCTTAAGTCCGCTTGGGTGGACTTGCATACAGCTCAGAAGAATAAAGTGAATAGTCAAATTTGGGTCTCCTTCTACTTGCTAAACCACCAACGAAGGGCATGCTCAGAGTATGTGATCCGGCAATATGGCGGACAGGAGTTGGTGCGGACTTTTAAAGAGGGATCGCGGCTTATTGCGCCACCTTGGCGATCGTATTGTCAGCATGTATTATGACGCATAAAAATAGCGGATGGTTGCGATACCGAAAATACACGTGCTAATGAAGCGATATTGTGGCTGAAACTTAAACAACGACGAAATAAAACGACTTTAAAACGACGAAATAAAACGAAAATGACGGCCGAGAATGCGGGCCGGAATCTTTCAGACGAGTAGAGGTTGACAAGAACCGGGAAAACCCGTTCCTCCGCGTGGCAGCCAGGTTCGTTGCCAACTCCGCCGCGCACGCGGCAATATGAATAATAACCGCAGAGTATGGACATCGAGCTAACTTTCAAGTGCCTTCCCTCAGAGAGGTTCTTTCAGGTATCTTTTTTTTTTCTCATAATTTTGTTTGTACATTTCTCTTCAAATGTTTATTATCGTTGAGGCTTCAATGAGATGTTAAACCGCAGTCACATATACTGCTTATACGTGGTACAAAACAGACACGGTGCTGGCCGCAGACATGATGAAAAACTTACCTGCGAACAGGCCTCAACCTTCTTACAAGCACGTTTGCCTCATACACATGTATGCCTCCAACATCTCTGCAGACCGTGTATTAACACTGTGTCCGCGTCTTTAGGCACCAAGACACCCTGTGTCAAGCGCGCGGTGCCATTGGAAATCATGTATGTCTTAAACTTAGATTAATGAGGGGAAGGAGGAGGCTGACTTAATTGCCTAATTTATATCAAATGCAGCACACATCATGTAAAATCAATTTTAAACTAGTGGTTAATAAGTCCCCCTTTTTTTTCTTCAACATTTCATCGAGCAACAGTGGCGATCGCCGTTTATTGTGGGGATCGCCAATGTTGCTAGGCTATAGGTGGCGCAACGTACCGCCCCGTTATAAAGGGTACAGCCCTTCCATCCGTCTATTCATCTTTGGGCACGAAACCCGTGATTGGATACGAGTCGTCGCCGAACGCTGGAGTATAGCGCTCGTGTCCAACTCGGGAGAGTACGTGCCCAAATAATGGCGGACACGCATAATTGGTGCAGCTACTACCTGATGGCAGCCACGTTATGGAAAGGGCCTTTTCAGAGGTCACACAAAACAAATCTGTCTTCGTCCCAGGGATAGCGTATACCTTACCGCTTAGATTCGTCATCGGGCGGATGCAAGGAGTGTATAGGCTGAAGTACATAGGATTCGCGAACATCTGTCGCCAGTTCTTAAAATAAACTGTTATTTTTGCGCCAACGTCGCACTGAAAAAAAAAAAAAAAAAAGAAACAGCATTGAACGTGTAAAACTATTTTCATGTTCTGAAGTAAAAGAGATCGTGCATAAAAAAAAAAGTGTCCTCATTGTTACCTCTTTATATTTTATATAAAATATTATAGCTGCCACGGTGGAGTCAGTCCCGGCCCGTAATAGTTGTGCAACATAACAATGTTAATGTTTCCTCACAATGGAATAGACTTTTTTAATTAAAAATATCGTGCCTTTAAAACCTCAGTAACATTGCGAACTTATCGTACAAAGGACAGGATGTTTGCTGGAGACACGATGACAGAATCATGTTGTGCGGACACGTCCCAAGCATGATCGGAGCACGTTTACTTCACACATGTGCTTGATTCGAACATGAGAGCACACATCTATCATGTTCCCAATGTAAAAAAGACCGTCATACACGAAAAAAAGAGAAAAAAAAAACATGAATCAAACAGTGTTTCCTAACCGTCTTTTTTTAGGACGAATGAGCAGTGTCACATGGGCTTAAGCACTTCCGTGTATTGCCAACCCTACAAGTTTTTTTCTAAGAAACGTGTCGTCACTTGTTTTTGATGATAGAAAGTTTGCCAGCTGCAATAAACCGATCAAACAGTCTGGAAATACACCCCAGCAAGGAAACGTACCACAACTTATTTTTTCCCCTTCTTTTTCTGTTAGTGCTTATAGTGCAGCTGGGGACGTATCTTCATATTCCTCTCTTCAAGTCACTAGAAATCACAATAAAACTAAAATGCACAGCTGTTACACGACAAATGAGAGACCGCGTTCTTGAGGTGTGGCCTCCTCCACGCCCTGAAGATCGGATACGTCTGCGTGACAGAAAAACAAAATATATATAAAATATAAAGTAATGCCAGAAAAAAACTGATAAAGCGATGGAAGTAGGAGGTAATATAGCCCTTTTACTGGCATCTTGTAATCACAAGAACATACGCAATAAATATGTAGATGCCTTTAGTTATTTTGCTCACGTACATCCATACGTATTTGGGGATCGGTGGCCGAGTGTGTCAGCGCACACTAAAGTCGCTGGGTCCAGTGACTTTAGCGCACACCAGCTCGGAGCACGTGGAGCGAAACCTCGCGCTGCAGAGTCCCGAGATCCTGGTTTCAATCCAGACCCCTTGCCCGTTTCGATCTGGATGAGCATTGCACCAACGTGCAGTCGCGCAACACGTTAAAGACTTCAGGCTAGTGGTAGTACTGCACTGGCTAAATTGCTCATCTATACAGCTGAGAGACAAGTCACCCGTCGACGCTGACTAACGGCTGTATAAACATACAGACAACGTTATATACTAAGAATATCCATACGTATTTGTGCATCCCTAACAGGCACGTAGCCGGGGGGGAGGGGCCCATGGGGCCCTCCCCCCCCCCCCCCCCCGAAATCTTCCATTTTGCTGGAACCTCCTCTCCCCCTCCCCTTCATACAGCATTTTGTCATCGGCCAAATTGTGGACCATCGTCAGAACAGACCTCCATCTATATGCCATAACTGGCAAAGATGGCATTCGTTGCCTCCATGACGGTCTTCGCTATTGTGCCTCTGAGAAGCCCTACCTCTATGAATTAAGACGGAGCGTCGCATGCAAACAAGAATGATATCCCGCCATGCTCGAAAACGTTGATTTCGAGTCGGTACCGCGGCTGGTCTGAGCCAGGGGCACAGCCAGAAAATATTTTCAGAGGATTTTTTTTTCTTTTTTTTTGTTCCTCAGATTCTCTCAGAAAAAGAAGAAAAAGAGCCAAGTGAGAGGAACAGCACAAACACATTTTTAGTTACTATTTTCCTGTTTCATAGAAGACAAGAATTCAACCTTTTTTGCCACGTGGGTCTATATAAAACACACACACGCACGAGAAGAACGAAAACAGGCAATAAAACATTTGGTATGTGCTTTGAAAAAAAAAAAGTCCAAACAGGCTCATAAATTATTTCGGTGCGCACACTTTTCTACGGAACACTCAGGCAGCCAATGATTGAAACCCCCTGAAGGGTACCAGAGAATAACGAAGTTTCGTAAACGATTAAGCATAAAAACTAGAATTCACACTGGGGTAATGATAAAGTAAAGCGTCACATTCTTAGTTCCTGCGCGGATCATGAGGGTTCTTTTTGTTGTTCGTTGTCGTTTTATGGGAAACTGACGGAGAAAAATACCAGATTATATCATTCTGTTGGGTCTAAAGATTTAGTCGAAGCCGCCGTCGGTCGATAGAAAAAAGCGAGAGGACACTTTCGGGGCTGACTTGGACGTTCCGGTGAATGTTCAGAAGCGCTACCCCTAGCAAGCGCTCCTGGGACGTTGAAGCTCTCAGGTATGACTTAAGTCTTCGGAGTGTCGAGAACGAACGTTCCGCTTCAGCGATTCTGACGGGCATGGTGGCCAGGATGTTCAGCGGGCTCTTTACGTTAGGATGCACGGCCTCCAGGCAAAGGCAAGTTGCCAGCGGTGCGGTCACCCCCAGATCTGTGCCCAAACCAGATATTCTCCAGGCAGTTCCTTTAACGAAAACGAATGCTTCCTACAGGCGGGAGATTTGTTTGAGGCTTGCGACGTAGGAACCGATGTTGTTGGTCACCACATGACTCCCGCCTAGGCAGGACGATGCTGCCTGGCATGAAGGTGCCAATTCTGTTGGAGACGTTGATGGCATGCTTGAAGTTGTAGGTCTAGTATCATTCTTTCAAAAATCGGCTCGTTTATACAAGTCATTTTGAGAGTCTATACAATTAAAGAAACTTTCACGACTCACGTGCTACACGCAAGATTATAAACATCACCCACTGCAGCGATTGAAGAAGTCCACTAGGCACGCTTTGAAACCAAGTGACTATGATCATTCCAAAGTCGCTTTTGCGGTGCATATGCTGCCGCTTTTATCTCTCGCTTTATTTTTTTATTTTTTTATTAAGAGGGATGTTTGTTAACGTTTTGGTTGCTGTATTACTGAAACGAAAGGAGTGCAGGCGAGTAAACTTTGGAGAGAAAAGAAGACGAGACGAAAAGAAGGAAAGCGCTAAGCTGTTTGTCCTTTTATCGTCCTGTTTTCTCCTCGTAGGGTTTGTAGAGCTAGATTATTGCTACTTTGGGATTATGTTTCGCTTCCCCGAAATTGTCGTCGAGTCCTTGAGCCTCAGAGGGTAGGGTCAGGTCGCCTGTATTCCCCGAGGGACAGTGAACTATAATATTCTAGATCACTGTAGCCGAGGCGAGGCCAGCGTCTGCCGAGATCAGAATTTCGCGGCTTTTGTGACGTCGGGAGCTGAGCCCCTCGCACCTGCGAGCCTGAGGAAAGGCTTCGTTAGGCCAGAGTTTGGCGAGAGCTCTTCGGAGAGCCGGAGCAGGACTCGTTTTGCTTCGGAATGTTGTCCCGTGGGTTGCAGAACAAAAAGATGAAACCGGGAAGGGGGAA